TAAATTCTGGGATATAATATTCAACTCCAGACTTGTCTCCATGATTAAGTTAGCCATATTCTTAGTTTTTAAACTCTCATTTATATGTGTCAGTATTTAATTTCCCTGGCATAACACTCCCTTGAGAACTTCTTGGAGAGCTGGTCTGGTGTTGGTAAATTCTTTCAGGTTTTGTTTATCTGAGAATGCTCTTGTCTTTTCTTCCCATAGGAAAGATAATCTTACCAGGTATAATATTCTTGGTTGCAATTGCTTTCCCTTAACACTTTGCATATATCTTCCCATTCTTTCCTCACTTGCATTGTTTCTGATGAGAGGTCTGCTGTTACCCTGATGGGATATCCTTTGTAGGTAACTTGACATTTCTTTCTCTCCAATCTTAGTATCTTGTCTTTGTCTGTGGTTTTGATCAGTCTGGCTATAATGTGTCTTGGAGAAGATCTTCTTGGGTTGATTCTATTTGGAGTCCTTTGTATTTCTTGGGTCTGGATCTTTGAATGCCTCTCTAGGTTTGGAAAGTTTTCTTGCAGGATTTCATGGAATAGATTATCAATGCCTTAGGAATCTCTTTGCCTTCTGGGATACCAGTTATCCAGAGGTTTGGATATTTGATGGTATCTAGTATTTCTCATATATTATTCTCATTTTGTGGGGAATTTTCTCAGTCATCATGGTGGACTTCTCTAGGCCGGTGATTTTGTCTTCTTCATCTCAGATTTGATATTCTGCATGATCTAGTCTGCTTTTAATACTTTCAAGAGAGGTCTTGACTTCCTGTATTATAGCCTTTATCTTTAAGAGGTCCATTTGATTCTTTTTGATAATGCGTAATTCTTCTTTCAGACCTTGCAAGAGTTTTCTTACCTCCTGGAACTCATCAACTCCTTTCTCCTGCCTCTTCTGCAATTCATTGTCCCTCTTCTCTTGCATCTCTGTTAGGTTTGTCACTATGAATATTCTAAATTCTTTTTCAGACATTTCCATGAGTTTCATTGTACTGTCTGAGGATGAAGAGGAGAGGAATTTTCTTGTTTTCCCATATTTCTTGTGACCTTACAGTGATTTCTAGTCATCTTATGGATCTTGTGTTCCTTTCTAATTCTTGAAGTTCAATCTTATCATTCAGAGGTGTGCAGAAGGAGGTGCTCTGAAATCTCACTTCTGTTCCATTTTCACTCATTGTGCATCAGATTCAGTGGGAATAGAGGAATATTCTGACCCTAATCATATTTGATGTTTGGAAGCTATTCACTTGGACCTGTCTAGACATTTAGTGCATAGAGGCTGACCAGCCAATGAATAAAAATAAAGAATTAGAGAAAAGCAAAGAAGAAGAAAAAATAAAATAAAAAAATAAAAATAAAAATATAATAAAAAAGATAAATTTTAATTTTAAAAAGCAAAAAATGAAAACCGCGTGGTCCACAAAATCAATATTTCAGAGCTGAAATTCAGTATCTATCTCAGGGCCTGGCCTGGGATTGTGCCTTTCCTAAATGGAATGTGGAAAGGCACCAATTAACACAATAAAGCAGGGGCTTGAGAGTCCAGAGAATACTTTACCTTTAAAAAAAAATTCTTTAGTTAAAAGTCACAGAGAGACATAGAGAGACAGAGATAAATGAAGCTAATGAGGCAGAAGTAGCCCTGTCTACTATAAATGAATCTGGAGTAAAAAGTCTCAGCAGAAAATCTTCATTTTTCGATCAAGGAAATCAATATTTCAGAGCTGAAGTTCAGTATCTATCTCCTTTTCTTTACTTTTTATTATTCTTTTTTTAAAAAATTATATCATTATGAACTACTCTTTTTTATTCTTGGTGATACTTCTTATTTTGAAGCTCTATACTTCTGATATTGGTATAATCTCCAAATTCCCATAATTGGTATTATTTTCACATTATTTTACTTTAACCTATCTTCATCTTCACACTAAGGTGACTATCATGTAGACAGCATATTCTTGGTCTAAATTTTTCAGTCTATTCATCTGTTCTTGGATATTTGGGTTGATTCCATGTCTTAGCAATTGTGACTATTGCCTCAATAAACATGGAGGTACAAGTGTTTTTTAGACTGAGTGTATTCCTATCCTTTGGGTCGATACCTAGGAGTAGAATTGCTGGATCATATGGTAGTTCTATTTATAGATCTTTAAGGAACCTCTGTATTGTTCTTCACAGTGTGTTTTTCAAGACACCAGGGAAGGGATTCAAACCATGGTGGACCTTGTGGGAATCCACTCATTTAACCACTAGGCTAAGTGGCCCACTTTGCCTTTTAATAAAAGTTTAGACCAGGAAAATTTAATCCAATTAATAATATGATTGTATTAGACTCTGCCAAATTATGATTTGTTTGCTCATTGTCTACTTTTTTTTTGGAATTAATTACATTACTATTCCATTTTATCTTCTTCACTAACTTATTAGTTATGCTTCTTTTTCAATAGTTTCTATAGTGTTTAAGTTTCTATAGTGTTAAAATATTCATTTTTAATTTTTTTGTATTTTTTCTTGACTAAGAAACTTAAGACTTGGGTACATCAAATAAGAACAATTTCTTTTTTGTTGTTTTAATTAATTAATTTACATTCATTCATAGCCTACAAAAATGTAATTTCCCATCCAGAAGATGCTGCATAGTAGCTTAATCATACATGTTATTGTCAATAATTTTCCATTCCTAGTTTATATATATATATATATATATATATATATATATGTA